GTGTGTGTTTGAGTGTGTGAGTGTGTGTTTGAGTGTGTGTGTTTGAGTGTGTGTGCATTTATTATTGTTGTCGATGTTTAATCGTTGACACATTCCCATGATGCACCTTCATAAGGTCAAAGGACTCGTGCCGATTACAAAATAAAGTTTCATGTGTTAAATGTCATTTTTCGTCAGATTCTTCAAAATAAAAGTTTTTCTGTATTTTTGTGACATTTTATAAAAACTTAAATCTGACGAGTGAAGTGTTTTTTTCAGGTGCAGCTGAAGAACGAGGAAGCAAAGACGTTCGCCATGAAGATCCTGAAGAAACGACACATCGTCGACACGAGACAACAGGAACACATCCGCTCTGAGAAATACATCATGACGGAGGCTCACTCCGACTTCATCGTCAGGTCACTCTCTTCTTCATCGCTTCTTTATCCTCGGGTAGTCACCACCATAGTGTTCATCAGATGATGATGTCATGCGGTCCAACGTTCCGTGGTCATGAAGACTAAGATGAAAAATAAAAGTGTTTATTTTACAAACTTAAGTTATATTATAATAAAAACGTCAATGTTTGTGTTGTTCTAGTTTTCAAAATGATAGAAAAGGTCTTGGCTTTCAAAATAAAAGCCTTTGAATCATAAACCTTTTTCAGAAAAGAAACTTTGTATTTTTGTTGATGAGATTTTTAAAGTTGGTCCTGAAAACGTGTGAAAGTTTCATATTTAACATTGAATACATGAATATGCATAATATCATAATTCATATATGATCTCTGGTGTTGTGTTCAGGTTGTATCGGACGTTTAAAGACAGTAAATATCTGTACATGCTGATGGAGGTGTGTCTGGGAGGAGAGCTGTGGACCATCCTGAGAGACAGGTACCCAAACCCAGTCAGTTTGTTCAACTGTTACTTATTGTGTCCCTGTGCCAGCGACACCTAGTGGTCGGAGGGCGTACGTAAATCTCTCGGCTGCCTTTCTTCTGGAGTTTCTTCATATTTGGCACAAACATTAACTCACAAAGGAACTGATCAGATTTTGGTGTTCGAAGGTCAAAGGTCAAACTCTTGAACATGAAATCTCTGTTTTTAGAGAATTTCTTCACATTTTGACCATAAACTTAAATAATATTAAATAAATGTAAATAACTTCAAATAATGTTAAATAATCTTTAATAATCAAAGTCCGTCTTCACTCAGGGGCTCGTTCGAGGACTCGACCACCAGGTTCTACACGGCCTGCGTCGTAGAAGCCTTCGCATACCTGCATGCCAAAGGAATCATATACAGAGACCTGAAACCTGAGAACCTCATATTGGATAGTCGAGGATACGCCAAACTGGTACACACACACACACACACACACACACACTCCAGAGAGGTTAACCCAAACCCACAGAGTCAAGGGGAAACTTCCAGATTTTATTTTTCATTCTTTTTTCAGAGCAAAGAAAAACTGCACAGACCAGAGGTAAGAAATGACTTTTTATTGTTTTTGATCTGATCCGTCATTTCCAGGTTGACTTTGGTTTTGCCAAGAAGATCGGTTTCTGTAAAAAGACGTGGACGTTCTGTGGGACGCCAGAGTACGTTGCTCCGGAGATCATCCTCAACAAAGGTCACGATGTGTCGGCGGACTACTGGTCTCTGGGTATCCTGATGTTCGAGCTTCTGACCGGCAGGTGAGGACACACACCTGTAGGGGTAAATCGTAACTCTGGTAATATCACATCTCACAGTGTCCATTTGTGTCTCCAGTCCCCCGTTCTCAGGTCCAGACCCAATGAAAACCTACAACATCATTCTGAGAGGCATCGACATGATCGAGTTCCCCAAGAAGGTCAGCAAGAATGCCGCCAATCTCATTAAGAAGCTCTGCAGGTAGGGGGCGCTGTGAGTCAGAGTAAGAGTGTGTAAATTCAGCTCGTCCAGAACAAACGTTTGAACTTGAGCTGTTTGTGTGGACAGAGATAATCCGTCAGAGAGACTCGGAAACCTGAAGAACGGAGTCAAAGACATTCAGAAGCACAAGTGAGTGCGTTGACACAGCTGTCCACATACTTCTGACGGCATCATCAGTACCAGTGAATTAAAGGGAACCTGTGTTTGTGTGTTCAGGTGGTTTGAAGGTTTTAACTGGGAGGGTCTAAAGAAACGAACCCTGACTCCACCTATCACACCTGACGTGAGTAGAAGAAGAAAAAAATTCAATGTTTTTCACAAATAAAACAAAAAAACTCATTTTCAACCTTTGACAAATAAAATACACTGAAGTTTAAACTGATGCAGAATTATCATAAAACAAAAGTTAACGTCTACGGTTGAAACAATCAGCGGATGATTCTTTCACAGACGTATCTATGTTTAATTTGCCTGACAAATAATGGAGTCGAGTTTCTATGTTTACATCCTTGTGTTTCATGAACTGTGAAGTTTTAGTCGACCTGGTTTTATTTGTTGAATCTTTCACTCCATCTTTTTCTCATCATAATTATAATGAAGCAACAAAAGACCACGACAAGTTGTAAAAATGAAGTTTAAGATGCAGAACATCTGATGTGTGAGAGAGACAGATAAAGTCTGCAGATGTTTCATTATGTTCTTCTGTCCAGGTTTCTTCTCCAACCGACACCAGTCACTTCGACAGTTTCCCTGAAGACACGGACGATCCGCCTCCAGACGACAACACTGGATGGGACTATGACTTTTAAAGTCCCAACCACCGGATTAAACACAGACACAAAACCTGAAGCTCTACGAGGACAAAGAAGACGACTTCTCTCTCAACTGTGTCTCTACCTGAAGAACCTGGGGTGTTTTGAGTATGGCTGGACCATGTGGGAATCAAACCCTCAATGTTTTGTCACCACATCGTGTCCCCAAATTAACTGAGCACTACATGTGCAGATTTTCACAAATGAAAGTGGACTGGAGGACTTTGTGGATCAAACAGGTCCAGTCTGTTCCCTTTAATGGGAGACATCATGAGCACTCACTTCCTTTTCATGTCAGATGTCAGATTTACTTATGTCTTGTCCAAAAGGGACAAGTGTCTTCTTAGCTTTTCAAGACGTGGTCGTCTTCGCTGCTTCATAGTTAAGAAAACTGCCTGAAATCTGAAACATCCAGAACAAACCTGCTTCCTTGTTTTACTCTGGATAAACTTTGTTCTTCCATCAGGCCCCAGTGTGGGTTTCACCTTATGTCCCATATATTTTCATTTGATCTATTACTTCAGAGAAATCGCTCCTGAGAATTAAGATTAAATCACGTGTGTTCCTATTCTGCTAAACACTGTAACACTGACAAACTGGGAACATGATCTTTGTTCCATGAATCTAAAGCAAAAGTGCAGAAAAGAACGATTAGGACTCAGAGGAACATGAATCCAGGAAAACCCAGATTAAAGCCTCTTGTGATGTTTCACGATGCTGCGACGCTCAGAAGAAGAACAGTTCTTCAGTTCTACAGAAATCTGCTGATTAAATCTGATTATCTGATTATCTGGAGCCTGAAGCTTGTCCGGAGGCGTCCAGTAGAATCCGGTCATCACAGAGTGGTTCCCAGAGGAATGACCACGGCTGGATTCTCAAATGAGACGTGAGAAACTGTCCTAGAGCCCCAGAACCTCATCACATTTCCTCTGTGGCTTTTCGGTCATTTGGAGTTGTTGGGAAATATTTGCCGTTAACGCACAATTTAAGTCTGAAATCTCAAAGACTGCACTTTAATATCTCTGTTGTTATTTTAACATGGAGCAAATGATTCTACAAACGTATTTTCAATCTCTTGAGTCAGTTCACCTGGAGCAGTCGTTTCTCACAAATAACTTTGGCAACAGAAGCTCACATGTTAAAACCAAGTTTGACCAAAGTCGAGTTTCTCGTTTCCTGTTTTCCCTTCAGCTCCCCCCTGTGGACAACACAGACACTGCAGCCCACAGAAAACCTCCGCTCCTGTCAAGTGTCCTTTCATCACTGGCTGACACTTGAACTTTGTGTCTACTTCCTGTCCCTTGGACATCTGGAGTGTGAGCTGAAGGTTCGTCTCTGGACGATGTACGAGTTCATCTTGAGGTCACTGTGATGCCTTCACTCCTCATTTCAGTTGTGGGATTTTAAAAACCAAGATTATGAAGAAACATTTGGGTGTAGGAGCTGCTGTTGCCCCCTAGTGGAAGATGGGGGAACATTTCTACTTTGAATCTAAACAGATATTTTGTACATATCCTCTTGACTTCCTACATATCTTTGCACACATCCTCAGACACGTGCACAATCACGTCTGTTTCTTCAAGTTTGTTTTTCGGACGTCGCCAAAAATAATCTGAAGCTTTTGGTTGAAATAGTATGAAGACATTTTCTCCAAGGCTCAGCGATGACACTTCCATGGTTAGAAAAGAAAAGAGCCCTTCAGATGGTCAGGTCCATTATTTTATATCTATTATCTCCTCCAGAGTTTCAGCCGTCATGCGTCAGAACGGACAAAGTTCCTCTTTAAATGTCAACATTTATCAAACCAACGAAACGAAACACAAAACTATTCACTTTACTGTCGACAACAAAGAGAATGTGCAAACATCTGAAAAAGTTGGAACCAGCAAACATTTAAAAATAACGAGTTTATCAAATTGATAAATTTGTCAGCCTCATGATTTCTCAGTTAATCAATTCATCGACAGAATAACCATCAGAGTTGAAGGAGACGTGATTATCTACGACTGATCATGTGACTCGTGGTTTGTGCTGCATCCACAGAGTTGAAGTTTAAAATCATATGATGATATTTTGTGGCCTTTTGTAAAAGCTGCTCGTTGTTTCACGTTGGTATGAAGCCTTTTTATTCACAGTCTGATCACGCTGAGATATTTTTGGGATTTCTGTGAGCTCTGCATGAAAATAACAACGTGAAAGAATTTGTCACATTCAAGGAAAAATTTTAGTTTTGAGATGTTGATGTGGTTCCACAGCAGGAGTCAGAATGTAGTTAGCCTAGCTTAGCACAGAATGGACAGTCAAATGTTTCCCCCAACGTCTCTCAAACCTGACAAACCCGTATGTCGTGTTAAGAACATGTAGGAAATATATTTAATCATAATCAAACAAAACTAATAATAATAAAATATTTCATGGTGGGAAGCCAGTGAGGGATCGTGGTCTTGTTCCTGGTTCTGAGATCCCAGCGAACAGGTTTTATCTCATTTGTGAAACACAAACAAAAAGATGTGAAATAAGCTCGTGTGTCGTTACCAGGCTGGTTTCAAAATAATGAAAAATGAAAAACGTACAAATTGATTCTTTGATTATATTTAGTGTTTTTGAGTTTGTGTAATGAAACTT